CCATACCAACAAACCTGTCCCTAACCTTACCCGTATCCCCCCTCAATAGCAGCAAAAGTGTTTTGCAATACAATATGAACACAATAAGTACATTGTACTTAATTTTTGATGTAAATACATAGTAGTTAAGGCCACTTAATATAAAGTGGGGCCAGTTTTTTGTGGATATTGCCTAATTCATTGTTTGCTTAACCTGGACATGTTCTGAAACGCTTGACGAAGCACTTGTTATGCAACCCAGTAGAACAGCTTAATTAAAAGAACTCCAATTAACAACTTTAATAATAGTTGCATTATTATGCAAATGACTATTTTCAATTATAAACAACATTACTTACTGTATCATGATAATATTAAACAGACGAAAACATTAAATACTTCCCAGAGCGTTCTCATTTTTCTTACACTTTCATATTTCTCTCAGCTGTTCCAGGTTAACCGGTCTGTCCACCCTCAGGAATCCGTGGTGAGACTAGCAGTGAGTGGCTTTTGTGCATTTGTATGGGTCTGAAACTGTAATTAAAACATGAATGGGTGGGTTATATGTAGGCATGTGAAAATTTTACTTCTGACTACACTGTTGTAAGTTGCCACTTCCTCAAATGAAAAAAGTTTTCCATTAATATTTTAATGATGATCTGTTAAAGTGATAGTTCACTTAAAAAAACAACAAATGTCATTAATTATTCACCCCCATAAATTGTTCCAAACCTGTATGAGTTTCTTTTTTTCTGCTGAGCACAAAAGATCTTTTGAAATTTTGAAGAATGTGGGTAAACAAACAGTTGCTGGTCCCCACTGACTTTCATAGTATTATAATGTTTTGATAATCCACTTTACACTGACATGTGTCACAATATGAAAAGTTCTGTTGTTACTTGTGTTACATAGTGACTTTAAACATTGCATTACACAAATATGAAAACAGCAAGAACATTACACAGCCAAAATGCAAATGTATTTACATGGTGTACAAAGGGAGTTTTCAGTAGTGATGCTAATAAAAGTCTATGCCCTATATCAGGCACATACCCAAATATGTTTATATTATGGGAGAATTTCTTGAATTATGAACATTCAACTACAGCTTTACAAACACTATTCATTTGTGGTAGCAGATCAGAGACGTTATAGGCTATTTCTAAATTAAAGCCTCAAAAGTTATCACAAACATAAAAGCACATTTGTTTACATGTTTGAAGCAGAGTACAAAACTAATTCACAAACCTAAAATCAGCATATTACTGTTTTTGTTGTTTTGGGCGTGTATGTGTGGATTACATGGTAAATGCAAAATTATGTCACTTTTTGCATTTCAATGTGTCTGATAGCCTATTGTTAATATACCTTGTCAGGGTAGCACCATATTTAATCTTTAACAAAAGACTTTCAGTAGACAAAAAAAAATCTGAAATGTGAAAAGTTTTAAAAATTACATGTCATCTATAACTTTATAGAACACATGCCTTTGTAAAGATTGTAAGTCTATTCCTCACAGCCTCGTTTCATCCATGTAAAATTCAATATGGTGGGGTTGTCAACGTTTTTTGTGGGGGGTTGTACAAGCTTTTTGTCAAAGTTGAAACCTAATAATTCATGTTATCCCAGCATAACACGATCCATCACAAACTTGCTTATTTGATTAGCTGGCTGACATAGAAATGAAGCACAACTGTTTTAAACATTTCAGTCCTAAAAGTAGTTTATTTTCAGGCTTAAGCTAGACTTTTGAATAACAGATGCTATTGATGTTGTAGTTCACACATGACTGATTAATGTGTGGAATGTTAAGAATATCGAGTTGAAAAACTTCAACACTACTAGTATAACTTATTTTGCTCGGAAAGCTCCCAGCAGGCAATAGCCGTCATCTCAACGTCTCGTTTAAGTATAGACCCGATATAGTCCGGCTATGTGTAACCCACTTCTAGCCCAAATAACCTTGAATTTGGTTTCATGTCGTTTTTTGGCAAAATAACTTGTGAGATGTATGATATCCCATCATGTAAGCAAAGTCAACAGTGTTTACAGGGTGTTTGGTTTCATTTCTTTGACATGTTCAATACGTAGCCTGTGCATAGCCACGATTTAGCTCGTAGTCCGAGCGGCTTTCTGTAGCCCACTTATAGTCAAACCTGATTCACTGTAGTTTTTGGCCAGACAGCGCATGAGATGGTTGATATCCCATCATGTTCGCAGTGTCAATAATATCTACAAATATATAAGTGTCATTTCATGACATCGTCTATATGTAGCCACGATTTAGCTTTAAATTGGACGGGCTTAATTGGAGAAACTGAGGAGGAGTTTCAACATCTGGAAAAGCTGTTGGAAATTGAAAAAACCCTCTCCAAAACAACATTTCCTCACTAAAGCACTCATCTTTGACAAAGTCCATCATTTATTTTAATTATATTGAATTTATGACTGAACAATGGCTTGTTAGATACAGAGAGAGCATGAGCTAATTGAATATAATCTCTTTGTCATTG